ATAGGTAAATGAATGTCTTACAACACACAAGAAATGAGCTAAATCTGTGTCTCAAGCAAAATCGACCGGAACGCTGTTACTGAGACACTCTCTTAACATTATCAAACACTTATGTTTTCTTGAGTTTCTGGGAACGTTTTGGTGCTGGCAATTCAAGTTTTAGCGATTGTCATTTGAAATTGTTTTGTGACATTGCACTAAAGTTAACTATTTAATATCTTTACTTATTCGTCCCAAAATGGCTGCATGCTGTAATTTTAAAGAGATCTTCACGCTAACAACGTTTACCAGTAATAATTGTTTTACTGAGTTGCTAGGAAGGTTTTGATGCTGGCATTTGAGTTTTATCATTCTTTTTTGTTTTATTTTGCAGCCGTCAAATATGCCGCCAACGGAAGATGTCCGTTCTAGTCCCAGTCATCCTCATCCTAGTCCCAGTCGACCTCGTTCGTCCTATTTTTTCGCTTGAGTTGGTAAGCTCAGTTTGCTTCATTTCTAATAGTCATCCCTTAGTTACTGCATGTTTTAATCGTAAGTAACATTGTCAAACGTTAACAAACAATTATTTTCTTGAGTTTCCCGGAAAGTTTTCATGCTGAGAATTGAGTTATGTAACTGTAGTTTGAAACCGTACTGTAACATTTGACTGAGCTGCTTTATTTCAATTTGTCCAACCATAATCTGTCAGAGTGGGCTAAGCGTTACAGCTTGATGAAGTGGTCTGATGATTTTCCCAAGATTCAGCTTCCTTCGAGAAACATTAACCCAAAGTTGCACCCGAGTTATCAGAAAGATTATTCGGGGCATCAAAATGGAAACGGAATTCGTAAAATAGATGAGGTTTATATTGTGCTTTCTTTTGCAGGACGACGATTGTATAGCCCTGTCTGTAGTGTGCTCGGGAACGTATCTGGAACTTGTGGTGTTTTGTCGGTGAGGGCCAGATGCCTGGACAGCCTCGTCCCACGATCATTTTTCAAGACCACATGAAGTTCAGGCATGTGTAGTTGTTGTGTAATTGTATTGTAACATTTGACTGAGCTGCTTAATTACCTAATAATAACAGTAGTCATCATCATCATCATCATCATCATCATCATCATCATCATCATCATCATCAGTAGTGGAAGAGCTATTAGAGTTCAAATATAAATACTGACATTGGAATAAAACTCACAAATTTGTCAACTCTAAGGTGTTCTGATCTATGAACCGTTGTTTTCTTATCTGAAGAAAGATCTTTGCGAGAGGTATGTTCCCAGTACAACTTGGACGAGACTGCATGTAAAAGTTATGTACAGCAACTTGAGTTCCCCGACGCCAAAGCCAAAAAAAGAGTAAGAGAAAGAAACACTCGTCCGCTTATTAACCGCGCGGCCATGGGGCGAGCGCGGTCCATGGTTTACCCGTGGTTTATCATTATTAACCGCGCGGCCATGGGCCGAGCGCGGTTCTAGGTTTACCCGGGGTTTATTATTAACCGCGCGG